CGGTGCGCTCCAACCGGAAAAGTATGAAATGGCTTGGCCAGTTTGGCGCGGTGATTTGCAGCAGTCCTACAGAGCAAGACATAGTCCAGTTGACTCTTGACGCTCGGGGATGTAAAAGTATGATGCGGGCTGGCATGCCAAGTGTTGGCAGCACACAGGTCACATTCCTGAATTAGGGTCTGAAGGTCTTGGTCCAAGTTGTTATGGGAACCCGGCTTAGGGACAGAAGGCCCGATGTGCGGATGAGAGTGCTGAAGAGTAGCATTAAAGTCACCCATGACCACTATTTGATGCCGAACCGGGGTGGCATTGAGGATGGATTGAAGCTTATGCCACACTTCGCCGCGAAGGGCGCGGTTTTTGGCCGCACTGTAGTGCGGTCTCCACACATGTTGGTAGATTCCCAAGATGCACGCAGGCATCTGACTGCGAATGTGTGTTGCAGTAATCTGAAGCAGGCGTCCTGGGGCATGTTCTTTGACCCTTGGCTCCGCGAAGCTACTGCTGGACAACATACACAAGATGCCGGCATACCTATCTGGCTCAGCCTCTTTGGTGTAGCCAGAACTATGGACACAAAGCCACTTCCCGCTTCTATAATCCTCAACCTGCTTCCAGTGTGTCTCGGTAAGGATAATGACATCATATTGCTCCGTGACCTCCCTGGTTTCGATCCATGCCATGAACTCCTGCATAAGTCCTGACGCAAGCCCTCCCGTGTTCCAGGTGAGTACCCTGAATTGGAGCTCTGGCCTGCAAGGTCGCGGCGCTGCTCGTCGAGGCTTCCTGGTTGGAGGGATGAGGTGGCCTACCGCAGGGATTCTTTGGGCTTCAAGGGCTGCACGAGTGTGCCAGTGGCTTTTGTACCAGGTTCCATCCTGAATGGAGTGGCTTGCTCTCTTGCAGGCTCTATTGAACGCTCTCTTTGCACTTCGGAAAGAAGGTGGGTGTTCCCTGCCTTGACGCACTATGCCGTGCGGCTTCCCCGGACGAGGTCCGAGTTGCTCCTCTGCTACGGCCGCAGAGGAAACCCTCACCCCAGCTGTGGCAAGCATGAATGCTCGCAGCGCTGTCCTATTGGATCCACAGCCTCCGGACTTGGGACCGGAGAGGCCCTTTGCAGTCCTGTGGGAGACTATTTGATTGGGACTATCAAGGTTATGAACCGTACCCTTAGGGGCTTTACTGGTAGGGTGGCGGGCTCCTGCAGCCCCGCTGCGTGGCAAGTCTTTGGTGTCCTGGGGTTGCTCCCGTCGCCCGGCTGCACGACCTCGTTGTCGGCATTGGCGGCGGCGTCTTCGGTACAACCAGAGCTGCATCCAGGGTAGTTTGCCGGCCCGCAAAAGGCGGGCACTTGATGGCTTGACTCTTTGTCCGCTGCAGTCAGGGCTGGCCATCCACGGTCCGGGAGGCACGGGGCTCTCCTGCTTGGCGATGGCCTCTAGCATTGAGCCTGCACCAGTTTTGCCACTGCACCAGCCTGTCTCCCGTAAACTGTCTTTGCATTGTTTCTCGTAGTTCGCTCCACGAGAGGTAGGCGATGGCCCTTTGGAACCATCCTTGGGAGCCGGCGCGGCTTCTTGGGGTGCGGTTGGCTTGAGTAGCCTGCAGTTCCTGTCGATATAGGGCACTGCACTCTGCCCTTGCTCTATCCAGCTCATTTTCCCGGAGCTCCAGCGAGAAGCTGCTGCTTGCGCTGATTCCATCCTGGCTGCCTGCGCGCCTGGAAGAGGAGTTGTTGGAGTCAGAGTCCTGAGGATCGGAGTCATACCAGAACTCCGGTGCTTGAGCCTCTCGTAGGGCTCGGTCTTCCGCGGTGAGGTACGGGATGGCTCCGGGTGGGGGCGGTGGCCCCGCGGGCCGAAATCCACCTGTTGGTACAACAGCAACGTCGCGACTCCCAGTAGCAGCATCGGTGTTGTCGGCCGGAGTGCGTTCCGGGGACGTAGTTCGCCGGCTTTTGCGAGGGGCAGCATGGCTCATTTCAATAGTCTACCGAACTTCGAAGAGTACTTGGGCCCAGGGGCTTCATCATCATCATCATCATCATCTTTATCATCATCACCAGCATCATAAGCACCCTCCTCCTCCTCCTCGTCGTCGTCGTCGTCAGCGTCATCATCATCATCATCCTCATCCTCATCCTCATCCTCATCCTCCTCCTCGTCCTCGTCCTCATCCTCATCCTCATCCTCATCCTCATCCTCATCCTCATCCTCATCCTCCTCCTCATCCTCCTCCTCCTCATCATCATCGTCGTTAATGTTGTTTCTAGCTTTGGGAGCCTCCGCTGCACCGTGGCAAGACCTGGGCGGTTCCGCACGGCTCGCCTGTGGCCGTCAAGTTCGAGGTGGGCAGGGCCAGGGGCAGGAGAGTTTTGGTGGCCCACTAAAACCTCGGTAGGTGAGGGTACAGCGTTTTGTTCCTGATGGTCAGGAGGGCAGGCAGGAATCGCGATTCTGCCAGACCCGCATGCATGCTCCGTTTGTGATACTTGCATGCTCCCTGGGAATTTGATTGCGAAACGCTGGCTGCAAATTGCAAGATCTTCGCGCTCAAAGCCGAACTAGGACCTCTCTAAGCCCGAAAGCCCTCCGCTACGCAACCTCGAGGACCTTGCGGCCCTGTCGATGACGCTACATGCTCTTGGTGAAGGTGTGCTTGACGTCAACAAGTAGCTGCAGTCTGCGATTGTTCTGGGATTGCAGCGACAGAGTAATTCAATCCACGAGCCGCTAGAATGACTACAGTGTTGAACGGCAGCAGTTTCGCAGTTCCAACCCGTCGGCCTCACGAATAAAATTGGCCATGGCTTGGTTTCTTCCACATCCCAGTGCAGAGATCGAGCAGATGTTTGCAAAAAGGTGGACGAACGTTCTTCTTGTCCCTCTTCTCTCCAGACATAGAGGCCCGGCTGCTATCCGGGTAGTGGGGCAAACTAAGCAGAACCTGACAGTACGAACCGGCGCACCACCAGGATTACTGCAGGCGCGGTTCTACTTACGTTTTATCATGATAGTCCGTTGATGTTAGATTCTATACTATTCTATTCCATTCTATTGCATTCTATTCTATTACTGTCTGTTCTCTTCTATTCTATTCTATTCAATGCTAGTCTGTTCTATTCTATTCTATTGTATTCTAATCATTCTACTACACTGTGTTGTATGATACTATGTTACAGTCAGTATGGCTCATGACCTTCACCCTAAACCCAAGATCAACAACCCAAAACCCCATAAACCCTGAATCGCGAACGCCCAATCCTGCTGTTTCTGGCTTTTAACCCTAAACCCTAAACCCTAAACCCTAAACCCTAAACCCTAAACCCTAAACCCTAAACTTTTGGCTGCAGGCACCTCTGGCCAGGCAGCAGGCTGCCCAGCCGGCTCGAGGCCCCGGGAGGGTATCGTAGAAAGGCACTTCTCGAAAATAGGGGGTACCTTATTTTGGGGTCCTTATAATAAGGATCCTACTATTTAGGGTACTATATTGGGGTCCCCTATTTTCAGGATTTTTTGGGTTGAACCCATCCTTTTGGGTTTTCTTTGGCAATCTCGGCGACAGTGTGGTAGCACTTCATCTTTACAGGACTTTTGCGGGCTTGCTCTAGAATTCAAGTCGCTCGAGACCTGTTTTGAGCTCCCAGTGCAAGGTGCAGGTTTGATTTAGCTTGTAGGGTTGCTCTAAAGCGCCTTGGCTGTTTGCTTGCGCTGGTTTACCCGCATCATGCCTTCATGCTCGCAGCTGCCATTTGCTCCTCGGGAGCCCGGAGAAGCTTCGAATTGCATTCGCACCTCGCCCCTCCGCATCTGCTCAAGGTGATCAGACTGAGTGACTCTTCGCATCAGCAGCAGCTGTAAAGGTAACGGATTCCGAAGTCTGATATCGACAGAGCCTGAAAGCCCTGAAGCTTTTTGACAAATCCTTGAACGGGACAAGATGCCTCTCCTGGTCGCGACGCAGCGTGCGCGGCCAGCGCTTTTGGGACGATGGCCGCACATCCCGTTGCCCTGCAGAGCCCGGAGCTCCTTGGATGAAGCACCGTTCAGGATTTCAGGATGTTTCGGGGTCTAGGCATGTTCGCAACTGAGGTAATTAGGTAAGGCAGCCAGATAGTACAACAGTTATACTGGTACTAATCGTCGCCATTGTGGTAGCAGCAGCTGTAGCCGAGGTAGTCGTTGTCGTCGTTGAAATAGTAAGTACTACTGTAGCAAAGTAGTGGTACCAGTAGTAGGAGTCGTCGTCGCAGTGTAGTCCGACTCGTACTACTCGTGGTCGTAGTAGTCGTAGTCGGAGTCGCAGTCGCAGTTGTAGTCGTAGTCGTCGTCGTCGTCAACGCCGCAGGAGCAGCAGCGGCAGCAGGAAGAGGAGGAGGAGAAGCAGGAGCAAGACCACGAGCAGGAGCAACAGCAGCAGAAGCAGCAGCTGCCGCTGCAGACGCCGCCGCCGGCGCCGTCAGCGTCGTCGCCGTCGTCATGTGACAGTGGTGTAGTCGGTGGTGGTCGTGGTGGTGGTGGTGGTGGTGGTGGTTGTACTGATGGTCAGTGGTAGTGGTGGTGGTGGTGGTGGTGGTGGTGGTGCTGCTGCTGCTGCTGCTGCTGCTGGTGGCTGTGGTGGTGGTGTCGAGAGTTCTCGTCAACCTTCGGCAAGTCTGGCCTGCTTTCAGGTCGGTTGCATTCATGTGACCGCGGTTGACGAAATCAGCAGACCTCTGAGAATCAGGTGCTTTCGGGAGACGTTTTCCCACTCCAGAGCAAGGACAGCACTTCGTCTCTTCGTCTTTGCCTTCACGTTTTTGGCTTGTAGGCTGGAGGGTCAAGGTAGGGTGCGTGCTGCTGAATCTTCAAGCCCAGAGTATCCAGAAATAGCGCCAGCGCACCACATCCCACGGCCTTGTGCAAATATCAGTTCTGCTGTGTGATCATGCCATGGCAGCATTGCTCGCTACGACCGCTAGGCTACTGCTTACAATCATTGATCGTTTCGGTGAAAGTGAGCTCGCGGTAGACAGTCTTGCGTGTTGCCAGCATCCAACAGAACGTCCGAGAGGAGGAGTTCGATTCTCCGAAGCCGAATTCTCCACGTTAAACCCTAAACCCACGCCTGTCTTGGCAGCTGTGTGCAGGACTGCGGGTATTTTGCGCCGGCCTTGCCGTGGCGCCTCTGACCGCTTCTCGCGCTCCCCGCAACGTGCGTGGCCGGGCCGTCGCCGGCCACTTGGCAGCGAGAGGGTGTGTGTGTGTGTGTATATATATATATATACACATACATACCCCGATCCAAGAAACTCGGCTGCGTGGGACGTCTCCTCAGCACAGCCTTGTAGCCTATGCTGTAAGCTCCAGGCGCCGCCTCAGCCGACCACTACGGGCTGCTGGGTCTTCAGCCCCAGGCCGACACGCAGGTGCGCAGCATGGCTTCTAGTATTTCGCATCAAGACGCAGATGGTTTTGGCAAGTTTCAGGCTTTTGAACCATTCGTCTTCCTTGACCCGGACGGCCAACCTGCAACTATACTCGTTTCGGCCCAACCGAAGCCAGGCAGATTCTTGGGAGGTTTGTCTTTTGCTTCGTGACTTTCTTGCTAATCCTGTCAACGTGAGTCTTCTTCACATCACCAGTAAAACAACCTCATAGCAATAGTCAGCTCGCAAAAGTAGGCACATTAGTATTTGTCATGAGGGTTCACACAAGAATCGCAGTATTTCTGTTCCTTGCACATCGTCCCTCGGCCCTAACATTCAATCCCTCAACCCGGAGCACTAAACCCTAAAGGCCTGAAGCCTGCAGGCCTAACCCATGCCAACACTCAAACCCCAAAACTTCAAGACCCTGTGCAACGGTAACCCGTCCAGAACCCTCAAAAGCTCAAAGGGGCCCCTACACTAAACCACTTGGAGGATCATGGGACTTAGTACGTACCCTAATTGGGGTTATAAGTAATTATAAGTCTAGTTACTTTATTTTTCATCCTAGTTACTACGTCCCATGATCCTCCAAGCATGGAAGCTTTCGTCCAGGAGATCCAGGCGGCTTACAGCCGCGCGGTCTCCTTGGCCCAGGATATGGGGGTTCTTTAGTCCTAGTACTACGGGTCGTTTGCAAGGGGGGTTTTATATTGTTTTATAGTAAATATTTCTAGTGATTGGGGTTGCATAATAAGGTCCCCTATCTTCTGAATCTCCTATATCACCCCTGTGCCCTTGCAGTCGGTTTAGGGTGGGGCGATTTAGACTTTCGGAGGTCTGGGCTGACTTTTGGCGCTTTTGCGTCGAACTTCACGGGGCCCAGAAACAACTTTAAATGGGCCATGATTCTGCAAGGGGCAGCATGATGAGAAAAAGGGTGACATTGTGCCCGGGTCGCCAGGCCAAACCGGACCAGAGACGACAGTTTCAGAAGCCCCATCCGGCACAAAGAACCGTCAGCCCAAGCTAGCTTGTACACTAGATCATGCCAGTCTTGCTACGAGTCCGAGTCTCACCGCTAGCACTCTAATGACGGTTTTTCCTACCAGCTGTGACTTCACATCATGTTTTTTGGTGATCTCCAGGAGACGAAGGCCTCCGAGCTGCTTCCCCGGCTCGAGGAAGCCTATGCCGTGCTCAGCTCCCAGGCGCCCGAAGCACGGCCCGAAGGGCATCGCTGGAATCGGATGTCAGGGTTTAGGATGTGTGGGGGTCTGTTTGCAGGGTTCAGGTTTGGGGGTGGAGGTGTTGGGCAACGAACCGTTGCGACAGTTGAATGCACCACGTCCGGACCAATCCGTCATGTTGACAGTGCGAACAGTAGGGTCCTGTTCAGTTCTGTCAGAAAGAAGTGAAGTGGCGTCATGGGGCCATCTTCGAAGTGATGGTTTAGCCCTGCGATGTATTCATGTTATGCTCGTACGAAGAGTGGAGTGGCTGCCAGGCCGTAAACAATTACGACAGGCCAGGCCCTAGAACTGTTCGTCTTCTTATCTGCAAAATCATATTCTCACGTCTTCTTCCGGTGCATTTATTGTAATTTCTTCCTTCCTTCCTCCTTGTGTGTCTCCTCTCTGTCTCTCTCTCTCTCTCTTTCTCGAGCGGTGGTTTCGACTCGAACATCGTGGCAGCAGGAGTCCCGGGAGAAATACGACCGGCAGCTGCAGGTAGATCAGGCCTGGGATGAGGCCGTGCAGCTGCCAGACATGCCCGTCACTTGACATGTGCTCAGCTTCTTTTGAAACCAGTTGGCCAGAGTTCTTCACTGTGGGATGCATACTGTAGAATGCCGGTTGCCTCCGCATACAATGAGCATACATGCACATATGCCTGCCTGCATTATACATACACTCAAAGCATCTCGTGCAGCAACTTCTCCGTGCATGCTTCCGCATATGTCGGTTTCTCACACCTTTTTTTTGGTTCATGCGAGGCTTCTGAGCCCCAAACCCTCACGGCCGACAGACCCAGGTGCGGGGGCCCCTGGGCAAGGAGTCCAACAACCGGCCGGGCAGGGCCAAGGTCTACCTCAAGACGTAGCCTTGAGGAAAACAAGTTGAGGCGTGTGTCTTCCCTTGGGTATAGGAATGCCGGAGTTTCGGGACGCACTCATCAGGATTTTCAAGGAGTTGGTTGGTATGTGTTTTGGAGTCGACCGAAATCCGTGCGTTTCGGGCATCACGACACGAGGTTCAAGGCTTGTCGTTGTTTCAGGGCTGTGTTCTTCCTTAGCCTTAGCAGTTTTCAGACTTGAAGCACCGGCAGGAGTACGACTTTTTTGCCTGCCTCCTGGAACAGCAGTTCTCATCCCGAGTGCCACACCCAAACCTAACGTATTCATTGGCAGTTGAAGGGTTAAGCCTTGTGGACACTGAGGTTTGGGTGCCAGCACAACCAGTCAGATGGGGAGTACATGCTTGGGCAGCTGCACGACTACGGCTATACTCTGGTGGACAAGCTCGAGGACTTCTTGATGCAAATCTTAGGAAGGATCCAACATGATGGCCGCTCACAAGTCTCCCCATCGGTTTCAGCATTCAGGCCCAACGCGGCCTGAAGCCCCAAGGCACTCGAAGTCCAAATCGTCAATCCTAAACTCTGCAAGCCAACTCCAAACCACAAGCCAAGAACTCTTGAACCCTCGACCTCAAACGCTGAAACCATAAACTCCACCAAACCAGAACCCGAAGCAACAGCACCTAGAGCTTCATCCTCAAGGAGTCAGACATCTGCATCGTCAACTCCTGCACTGTGAAGACTCCCTCTGAGTCCCGGGGCCTGCACCTGGTCAACCAGGCCAAAGTACTGAGACACACATACATTACACGCATGCTATGTCTCTCTGTCTGTCTGTCTGTCTGCGTGGCTGGCTGGCTGGCTGTCTGTGTGTCTGTCTATCTCTCCGCATGCGCATGACGACACTAGCGCTCATGATCATTCAGAGAGTCCTCTTCGGGGCCTTCGGGGCTTCGATTTAGGGTCCGCTCGAGGTCAGGCTGTAAGTCCTGTCCTGAAGTCTGCAGACCAAACTGCAATTTTTCCCCAACCAGCTGTCGTGGTTTCGATCTCTGGCTAGCAGCGATTGCGATGGTAACTGGAGTTTAAGGCTTGAGCAGCAGGATGAAGCTGCTCGAGCGGTGGACGTGCAAACGTCTCCTGGAGCACCACCTGCCCCGACTGTCGCAAGCCTAGGTAGCACAGGCCACGTCCCAAGCAAGACCAGAAGGGCTTTTGAAAGGAATAAAGTCGCGAATGATGCATTTCTTAGATGCTTCTACTTCTACATCAAAGCATAGGCTTTCATGGATGAATGGATGGACTGTAGTTCTCTGCAAGGCCACGGAGTTGCAGAAGCAGGTCGTGCTCGCTGGCTGCGTTCCATCTGGTGACAAGCGGCTGCCAAAGAAGCTTCCGCATGCCGCCCGGTTCTATCTTTGAGTCTGAACGCCTTCGGCGCTTCTCTTGTTTCGGACAGCGGTTTATCAAAAGGTTCTCTCACGATTTCTGCAAGATTTTTGTGATCACAGGGCTTCCTGTCGTAACCGCAGGTCAGCATGCTTCATGTGACGCAGCTGGATCGTATCGTGGACGTGGTTGAAGAGACAAGCAAGGGACGAGTGGTGACCCTGCTAGCTGCCTGGCATGCCAGCGTTGGGTTTGGGTGAGAGCCGAAGGCCTAGTCGTTATGTGATGGGGCTGCACTCCTTCTGGCTTTTCCCCTCCCGGCCCCAATGTGCAGAACCACGAGGACAAGAAGAAGGAGGGCCTGCCCTCCCTGGCGCTCCCGAAAGTGCGACAGGATAGGCTGACCGAGATCATAACCATCAATGCTGGGTGCTTGAACTTCTGCACTTACTGCGGCTCGGACACAGCAGAGTCCGAAGATGTAAACACGGGCTGCTTCAATTATGTGTGAGATTGCTCCTAGTTACTGTATCGTATCTTATTTTGTATTTTGTCTTGTATTCTATGTAGTATTGTATTGCATGTAGTATTATATTGTATTCATTATTGTATTGCATGTATTGTAGTATTGTCTTGTCTGCATTATTGTACTGTATGTGTTATTGTATGTATCATTGCACGTACTATTGTAGTATGTATTGATATGTATTGTTGTGTGTACTATTCTATGTACTATTGTATGTGGTATTGTATGTATGGTATTATTGTGCTCTTGTATACCGTATATCTGTATTACTGTATTATTGAAGTATTGTGTTCGTATGTTTGCATGGATGGATGGATGGATGGATGGACGTACGTATGTATGTACGCGTGCATATATCTACATACATACGGGTAGGTCTATTGTGTACATTCGCGAGATGTGTGTGTGTGTGTGTGTGTGTGTGTGCTCTCTTATCGAAGGCAAGACTCGCATGGCTCGCGGAACCGTGGTGTCCTACTCCGTGGAGGAGATTGTGGCCCGGGCCCTCCAGGCCGCCAGGGAGGGGGTCTGCCACATCGAGCTGGCCTCGGAGGACATGGGCGCCTATGGGCTGGACATCGGCAGCAACATTACCGAGCTGCTCCTGCGCCTTTCGGATGCCTTGCCGGCTGGTGTGATGCTGCGGACTGGCATGACGAACCCTCCCTACATCATGGAGCATTTGGATGGGGTCATAGAGGCACTAAAGCGGCCGAATGTCTATAGCTTCATGCACATCCCAGTTCAATCTGGTTCGGATGCTGTGCTCAAGGCCATGAAACGAAAGTACACCGTCAAGGACTTCCTCCATCTCGTGGGTCGCCTGCGAGAGGAGATCCCTGATATTTATCTGCTCACCGACATCATCTGTGGCTTTCCCACAGAGACAGAGGAGGACTGGCAGGACACCTTGGAGTTAGTACGGGACTGCCGTTTCCACGGAGTTTACTCCTCCCGCTACTTCGCCCGGGCAGGGACTCCGGCTGCAAAGCTGCAACAGCTTCCCCACACTGTGACGAAGAGGCGCTACCAAGAGCTGTGCGCCCTGGATGCTCTGAACGACCGCAATGCCGGGCTGCAGGGGACCACGCAGCGCGTGTGGTTCGCTGGTACCGACGGCCCGCGCAATCAGACTGTTGGACGCACGAAAAACTTTGCAAAGGTCCTGGTGCCGCGAGACGATGCCCTCCTTGGCCAAAGTGCCATGGTAGAGGTCTTGCAAACATCGGTTCAGCACGTGGAGGGCCGTGTCCTGCAAACCGAGGCTGAGGCTCCCTGACACGGCCGTAGCTGCGCGAAAAAGGTGCAGAAGCTGGACCCGAGCTTGACCTGCAAGGTGCAAGCCGCCCCAAATGGAAAGCTTGGCAGCGTAGGATGACTACCCCTCCAGATTGAAAGCCGACTAGCGACGAGCTACTGCTTGATCAGGTTGTAGACGTAGGCCAGTTTATGGAACATGTAGTTCTCATGCAGGCAGCAGGTAAGCAATAGCTGCAATCGGCGCTTTTGGGAGTCTTGGTCTGGGTGGCCATTGTATGCCCTTGCGTCAAGTTTGTTTGCTACTGCAGAGGGCAAGTTGAAAATTGAAGGGCAAGAATTGATCTTCAAGGGATGGGGGAATACGTCAAACATTGAGCTTGGTGTTCTGCACGAGCCGAAACCCGCTCACCAGAGCACTCCAAACGCTACATCCGCCCATTTTCATGTCGAGCCCGAATCGCCGTCCCCTCGGCTTTCCACTGCAACGATCGCCGGGAAGGCTCCGACGGGCAGCTTCGAGCCGGTCTCAGCAAGCTGCCCTCGCTGTCCATGCCCAGCCAGGCGTGTCGAACCCGGGTTTCAGAGGATGGGGGAAGCATCAGGGGCAAAGTTGCTCACGGCGACGGGGTATGTGTTGTGTTAGACGGTTTGGTTGTTGGGCTTCAGGTTGAAGATGTCCAGAAAGCTGGACAGGCAGAAGGTTTTGTCTAGCTTGAGGCGTTCGGTCATTGCGGAGCTGCAAATTAATCAGACAATTGGCTTGTTGGAGCCTGGTAAGGCTGCTTCTGTCAAGCTGCCACCTGCTTTGTGCATGACATGGGTCTTGCGATAGTCGGAGCACGCAGATTAGATCCCCGGCCGACGTTTGCCTGAACTGTGGCAGGCCTCCGGAATTCCGACTGCTGCCATGTGCGAGCGCTTCTCCTTCTCCCAGCACAACGTGGCTTGGATCAGCTGGGCTTTGCCAATATGCATGGAGTGTTGATGCCAGTGGGAAGCATGAATGAACTGAGTGCCAAAATCCCGATCAAAAGCCGAACCGCCGGCTCGCCACCAATCGCAGGCCTTGTTAACAAATCTTTGAGTCATCATCATCATCCTCATCCTCATGATTGTCATCATCACCGTTGTCAGTGTCATGGTCATGATCACGGTCCTGGTCCTCGTCGTCGTCGTCGTCGTCGTCGTCGTCGTCGTCATGACAATGATCTCATCATCATAATCATCATCATCATCATGATCATGATCGTCATCATCATCATCATCTTCATCTTCATCTTCATCTTCATCTTCATCTTCATCTTCGTCTTCATCTTCATCTTCTTCATCATCATCATCATCATTACCATCATCATCATCATCATCATCATCATCATTACCACCACCACCACCATCATCATCATCATCATCATCATCGTCATCGTCACCATCGTCACCATCATCACCTCATCATCGTCTCCGTCATCATGGCTACCATTCTGCATCACCACGGTTGTGACGCTTAGTCACTACTGTAGTACACCATTCTTGCATTCCTGCTCGTTGCCATCACTGCTGGTCTTTGCATCGCCATCCGGAATATTCGTACATGTTACCATTTCTACCATGGTCCCTGGCCCAGCTCGTGTACAACAACTTGGGGGGCAGCGGCCCTGGTGATCCGGACGAGCCGCGCATCATCCGCTACCACCAGGCGAGGGTACCTTCCGCAGCATTGAATCCTAAGCTGGGTTGGAGAGCGGTACTGGGAATAGGGCTTCCTGGTCTAGCGTAATGCAGTTATGCAGGGACCATCACAAAAACCTATCATGGTTTCTTCTGCGGTTAGGGTGCCATCCCCAAGCGCAGGCTTGTACCAAGAGCGGCAAGGCGGTGGACATCGCTGGAAGCCCGGTCTTGGGGTGTGACGGGAGCGGGTACCTGGAATTCTGCGGGTCAGTGGGTATCTCCGGGAGAACGGCAGAACGGACAATGACCATTCATGGCGTGCAGCCAGAACACCACCGCTCTTGCTGAACTCGTTGTGTTAGAAGGGCTGCAGCAACACTGGAATATGCAGCCACACCCATTCCATAGTCAATAGTTGACACCTTATCGCCAACGTCAACTCGTGCATTGTGTCGGCGCACTTACATATGTATGTACGCAGGTAGGCAGGCAGGCAGGTAGGCAGGCGGGCAGGTAGGGAGGTATGTATGCACGTGTGTGTATACATGTACATGTGTATATGCATATATATATATATATATATATATAATATATATATATATATATACAAATACATATACACGCACACACACACACACACACATATATATATATATATATGTGGAGGGGTCCTTTATGTATCATTTGACCCGGCTATTGGGTGCATGATATGTACTACACATGCCAAGCCAGCTTGCTGACC